CAATCATCATGCCCTGACTAAACTGAAAAACAAACCTTCTGCCCTTATTCAGTCCACAACCTTCTATTTCCTCCCTATTCATGTAACCATCCAGATGCCTCTTAAATGTTGCCAAAATGCTTGCTTCCATCACCTCCTCTGGCAGTGTATTCTAGGGTCCTACCACTCTCTGCGTGAAAAACATCCCTCACACATCTCCCTTAAACTTTCCCCTCTGACCTTGCACCTGTGTCCCCTTGTAATCGAAACTTCAACCCTGGGGAAAAGCCTCTGACTATCCACCCCTATCTATGCCTCTCATAATTTTGTAGTCCTCCATCAGGTCTCCTCTCAGCTGCTGTCTTTCCAGTGAAAACAATCCTAGTCTTTTTAACCTTTCCTCATAACCAATGCCCTCGAGACCGGGCAACATCCTGATGAACCTTCTCTGCACTATCTCCAAAGCTTCCAAGTCCTTCTGGTAATGTGGCAACCAAAACTGCACACAATACTCCAAATGTTGCCTAACAAGGGTTTTATATAACTGCAACATGATTTTCCAACTCTTGCATTCCATGCCCTGACCAATGAAGGCAAGCATGCTATATGGCTGCTACCACACTGGGCTAACAACCTGGTGAATATTAGTCGCCTCCCTTAGGGCTGGATTGGGTTTGGCCCATTGAGTCGGGTGTTCTCGGGACACATTGACAGTGATGAGGCACCATCCCCTTCCTTTCATCATCCTTCCCTCACCTGGGCCTGTATGACTCACCCTGGCAATGTCTGACCCCATGTGCCTTGCTAAGAGGGTGACATCCATTACTGGGGTTCTTCAACTGGATGCTGTGCTAGCAACGTCTACCACTCTTTTTGCTGCTGCAGAAGATGCAGGCTCCTCCAACTAGTCCAGATTCTTTTACAGGCAGCCTTTCATCCTTTAAAGGGACAAAAGCTCAGATGATAGCTCATCCACTGAAAGATAACTATATAACCCAGTCAGGACTGACCCAAAACGATGGGGTGGAATTATCTGGCTCATCACTGGGGCCACTGTGCATCTCCATAAAATCCAGCCTCAGACAGCTAAGAATCATAGAATCCCTACAGTGTGGAAACAGGCCCTTCAGTCCAACAAGTCCACACTGACCCTCAGAGCATCCCACCCAGACCCATCCCCCTATAACCCACCTAATCTATACATCCCTGAACACTGGGCAATTTAGCATGGCCAATCCACCTAACCTGCACATCTTTGGACTGTGGGAGCATACCGGAGCACCTGAAGGAAACCCACACAGACACAGGGAGAATGTGCAAGCTCCACACAGACAGTCGCCCGAGGGTGGAATCGAACCCGGGTCCCTGGTGCTGTGAGGCTGCAGTGCTAACCACTGATCCACCGTCCCACCCCAACACACTTAATAAAACCCAAAAGAACTGCGGATGTTGTAAATCAGGAACAGAAACAAAAGTTGCTGGAAAAGCTCAGCAGGCCTGGCAGCATCTGTGAAGAAAAAGTCAGAGTTAACGTTTCAGGTCCGGTAACCTTTCCTCTGAACTGCCAGACCTGCTGAGCTTTTCCAGCAACTTCTGTTTCTGTCCCCGAAAAGACGTTTATTGACCTAGACTCATCTCTGCGGATGCAACTCGAAAGATTCACCTGAGATTTGTCTGAAGATACACTCATTTTGTTGATATCAACAAATGCTTAAGAATCCTCCCTAGTCATTAGAGTGCACCCAGGCTCAAAGCTGGGTGCAAAAATGCACAAGAACATAGAAATCAGTGAAAACGTCAAGAGCCAAAGTAAAAAGCAAATGCGCAACAGTATATTTCTTTTTTGAATTTCAATTCATTGAACAATCATTCATGCACATTAAGCATATTAACTGAGGTAGAATTTTAATTTTTAATGTAACATATTTTGTAGAAAAATGCTTTTAAAGAAGCACATAACATAGACAGAAGGTCTTAGTTCAGATAATTTATTTAAAAACGATCAAAAAGTTGCCATTAAAATGTTTGTTTCCTGCTGCACCTGTAAATTTGGACTGTGTTAAACAACCAACAATCAAACACAATGAGAGAACACTTGCAGTTGAGGGCCAAGGCCAAGTCCAGTTCTGTAAGCAGAGATCCACTCAGATTCAATGGATCCATGCACAAAATTCAGGAATACTTAGCAAATTTTATTTACAGGAATCACTCACTTATGCCCAAAATTCAGCAATCTATTAGTGACACTTAATTTGTTTGTGCTCAGAATATACATCAACAAATGCAGAGGAAGCTGTAGGTCATCGTATTTAATGAAAGTTATAACTTTGCCTTTGGTATGTGGTTACAAACTCATATTTAGGATTGGCCCAATGCTGACAGCTCTGTGTGAAATGTCTCTTTGGTGGGTCACATAGTCCAGAACTACATGGAAAACCCCGGTAGACATAATCATAGAATCCTTACATGTGGAAGCAGGCCATTCAGCCCATCTAGTCCACGTCAACCCTCTGAGAAACATCCCACCCAGAACCACTCCATTAACCTTTCATTTTCCATGGCTAATTCACCTAACCTACACATTCCTGGGCACTATAGGCAATTTAGCATGGGCATTCCACCTAACCGACACATCTTTGGACTGTGGGAGGAAACCAGAGCACCTGGAGGAAACCCACACAGACATGGGGAGAATGTGCAAACTCCACACAGACAGTTGCCCGAGGGTGGAATCGAACCCAGGTCCATGGCATTATGAGGAAGCAGTGCTAACCACTGAGCTATCGTGCTGCCCTTATAATGCCAGCCTTTAAAAGTGGCACAGAGGAAAATATTGTATAACAAAATATAACCACATTGATTATTTTTAAATAATAAGAATATTTTGACATGTTAAGATCCTAACATATATTTGGGATTGAATAACAGAAAAAAAAACTGCCAAATTTCTAATTACAATTCACTTCCAAACCATAAGGAGCTTATTCACCATAAGATCATGGGTAGAAGGTGCGTGGGAACATAATCACTTCCAAGGGTCTCTCCAACTCACTCACACACTATCCGTGGCTCAGTGGCTAGCACTGTTACCTCACAGCACCCGGGACCCGGGTTCGATTCCGGCCTTGGGCGACTGTCTGCGTGGAGTTTGCACATTCTCCCCGTGTCTGTGTGGGTTTCCTCCCACAGTCCAAAGATGTGCAGGTTAGGTAGACTGGCCATGCTAAATTGCCCATAGTGTTCAGGGAGGTGTAGATTAGGTGGGTTATAGCAGGGTGGGTCTGGTTGGGATGCTCTGAGGTTCGGTGTGGACTTGTTGGACCAAAGGGCCTGTTTCTATGATCCCTTCCTTGACATAATCCATAATTGTCACTAGCTCAAAATCCTGAAAGTCCCTAGCTAACGACATTGACATAACACTGTCACCATGTGGACAACAGAGGTTCATGAAGGTGATTACCACCACCTTCTCAAAGGCAATTCAAAGTGCTGGCTGTCCCAAGAATAAACGTACAACAGTCAAAAAGTTTCAAGATCACTTTCTTCTCATTTCTATTATGCAGAATTACAATGAACCAAGTCACTTCCCAACATTTTCATTATATAAGATTTCAATAGACCAAACTGTTTCCCATACACTCGCCCTGCATCGAATTTCTTTGGACTAAATCAAAGCTCATTCACTCCCATTATATAGAAATCCAATTAACCAAATCACTTTTCATTTATTCCCATTCCATAGAAATATAATCGGCCAAATGGCTTTTCATTCATTCCTATTATACAAAATTCCTGATTGAGGCATAGCTATTAACTGCTATGTCTGATTGGAGCACAAAAACATCCCTCAATTACCTACCTATGTCATAACTTTTGAAAAATATCGGTCCAGAACACGTCAGTCATATTTCAGACATTAACAGCTCTTGTAAGAAATGTATGGTGCATAATCAAGCATTCAAAACAGATTCAGTTATAGCACAAGTGTTTAAATTAACCAAAATTCATATGTTACAAATTTCTTTAAAACGATCAATCTCAAGAAATCATTTTTGAAGCATAACATTTCCTGGAAGATTACTCATTTTTGTCAACAGTTACTGTATTAATGGTTCTTAATATTCCCAACACTGATTCATTACATAATTCTACTAATGGCTTTTTTAGGTTAATTTGTACCTGATATATCTAGTTAAATAATAATTAGCATGACCTTCTTTTCAAATGTAATATAGAACAGGAATGTATAATACTGGACAGATTGTAAGATAATATCAAGGCAAAAGCATAGGCATGTTATGGGGATTTAGAGTTAACAGAGCTGTGGTAATAGAAATGGGCACCATGGTTATACACAGAAGAGGTTTCTTTTCAATTCCCAGAAAACTGTCTCTAGTAGTTAATGTAGAAGTTACTTTATAATCGCATAAGTGTCAAAATAGTATTATAAGAGTTTGTGACTCTACATCCTACTCTTGGTGAGTATCTGCAGTTGACTGCTCTTCTAACCTAAATTTTCTCTATGACTCTGTTGCTGCACTGTATTCCCTGTTTTGCTTTCTCTTTTAAATCTTTTCCTTTCTATTCTGTTCTTAACTGTTATATCTCATGCCCTTCATTAGTTACATTAATTCTGTATATCTGGGGCTCTTTCTCCCTCATTTTAGTTTTAGTGCTCTTCCAATTCCTCATTTTCAAATTCAGGACTTCCAACCTATTTTTTTAAATTCTTTCCCATTCTGAGTGAAGTGCTATTAGTCTGCTAGTTGTTTTCCCTCTTACTCATCTGACTTACTGGGTATCATTTGGCTTTCCTGCATTTTACCATTCTCTCCTTCAGCTCCAGCATTTGCACAGCACTGATATTAGCTAATTATTTAACCAGACAGATAAATTGCAAAAAAAAAACAGTGTGGATGTGGCTTGTGATTTATCAACATGAGATGTATTCAGAGTAATGAAAGATGAGAACTCTGGAATGAGATGATCCAAGTGTGATACGGTACTAAAGACATACTGACCTGCTCCTGTATGAGCTGAAGCAGAGAGCTCCTATCCATATACAACCTTGAGCTTGCTGCACACACACCAGCCAAGAATTGTCTGCCTCTCCCAGCAATCAGACAGAAGCACAAGCTCTCACAGGCACTGAGGATAGCTTGCAAGGCAGTACCGATCCAGGCCCTTTCTTCACAACGTCCTTCAACATCCAACATCTACACCACAGAATGCCAACAAGCTCCTAGAAGAGATGCAACCAATCATGTCCAAACGAATTGAGAGTGAGTGACATGGCTCGAACGTTCACTGTAGGATTTTTCACACAGCTGCTGCCTCAACAGCTCCCTCTGATGAGAGATAGTGGGCCCTGCTCGAACATAATTACACTTAACAGCACTGGTACCGAAAGCCTACAACCACACTGCTGCTCTGCAGAGAAGCGGAGAGGTATACAGCATCTTAAAGACTCCAGAATTAACCCTTTCCTGGCTCCAACATGTCGTTTGCATGTTTCCTCTGATGCTGCTGGTATTACATCATTTCAGTGCATCAGTTTTATAGACAATTATATAAAATTCCTAAAATTCACATCCTTTGAAAAGCTATAAGGCTGTTGTTTCATTTTTCCTTTCTTTGGAGTCTCTGCATCAAAACCTAATCAAAAAGAGAGCCAGGTGGCCTATTCCCTGACCTCTATGGAAGTTTCTTCATTAGAATTAATCATCAGGTGTAAATGTACATTCTGCCTTTACCTGCCACTTCTCAACCCATTAGACATATATCTTCAATGAAATCACAAGCTCCAAATGCTACTTTGCTTTTAAAATGAAATTATAAACAATTGTTTCAACTTGGAATGAATTAACAGTGCTAGGTATCCTGTGGGTTCAGATAAGCTGAGATCGGCTTATATCAGCATCAGCTCTATTTCAATGTGACCTAGGGTAAGTTCTGTCCCAAGAACACCACTGCAGCAGGAGCCTACTTCCTTCTGAAGGCTACACATCCCTCAGATCATTTGCTTATGCAGTTGCAGTAAGCTCAAAGGTAAGGGCAGAGGCAATTGTGCTGTCATTTTGTTGTACATTTTTGTACACTAGAAGAAATAAAAACATGTGGAACGAAAAAACAACTTCAATCAGGTTAAGTCTGACCTCATTACTGTTATATTTTAAACTACACCCTGTAGATAGTTATGCTGCCTAATAGATGAATAGGTAGCAAGGTAAAATGCAGCTTGTCCAATTTGTGGAAAGAATGTATTCAACAGTTTTTTTTTACCAGTTCTATGTTGATGTGAACTACATACTGATAGTTAACATTATGTAACACCTTAATATCTCACACATCTTGGAATAGTGTTAAGTTCTAATTTGATACGCATTTATAAATGCTACTTTGACCCAGCAATTACTTGCTTTTTTCACAGAGTACAGCGCATCCTGTGGATAAGCTTAAAATGACCCTTAAATTTGAGTCAAATGCCTCAAGCCTGATAGTGTTACATTCAGTTCCAAGCGTGAAGTCCACAAGGCCAGAATACATTGTGCTATTACTTGCTCATGACCCTTTATGGCAGAAATTAAACTTTTAGAAGAGTTTCATTTCAAATATTTTATAAATATCATTAAATGTTACAATTCTTATTACTGACACTTCAATTACATTTTTACATTACAGGCAGTGCCTGGATTGTGAACAGTTTTGTCCTGGAGTCCATTCGCACGACAAGTTGTACGCAAGTTAGAACACAATGCAGGACAATGTAAAGTAGCTGTGAGTACAATGTTTGTATGTCAGGTCTTTAAAAGAATACTACTGTGTGGGATCGCATTCACAAGTGCAAATGTTAATAAATTGGATGTTCACAAATCAGGACCCTCTGTAGATTTTGGGAGTGCCAATTCTTGACAATGATGAATGTTAGATGTGTAACATTAGACCTATTGTTCAATGACCCTTGTAGATTTCCAGCTGATCAGTGAGTTTGGTAGGAAAGAAATAAAAACACTTGTATCTACATGTTCCACAACCTCAACCATCCATAATCAATCACAGCCTGTGAAGATTCAGGGTAGGCTTGCCATTTGGATACTAAATTGGTGTGTTTGTAGGAGATGGAGGGTGGTGATGGAGGTTGTTTTTTGGGCTGGAGGCCTATGACCAGTGGTGTTCCACAGGGATCGGTACTGGGTCCACTTTTGTTTGTCATTTATAGAAATTTGGATAAGATTATAGGAGGCATAGTTAGTAAGCTTGCAGATGACACCAAAATTTGTCTCATAGTGGACAGTGAAGAAGGTTATCTAAGATTACAAAGAGATTTTGATCAAGTGGATCAATGGGTTGAGGAGTGTCAGGTGGAGTTTAATTTGGATAAATGTGAGATATTGCATTTTGGTAAAACAAACAAAGACAGGACCTATATAACTAACGGTAGGGCCCTGGGTAGTCTTTTGGAACTGAGAGGCCTTGCGGTTTAGGTACATAATTCTTTGAAATTTGCATCGCAGGTAGACAGGGTTGTTAAGAATGTATTTTAGCATACTTACCTTCACTGCTCAGGCCTTTGAGGGTAGGAGTTGGGACGTCACGTTGAGGTTGTATAGGACGTTGGTGAGGCCTCTTCTGGAGCACTGTGTGCAGTTCTGGTCATCCTGTTATAGGGAGAATATTATTAAGCTGGAGTGGGTTCAGAAAAGATTTAACAGGATGTTAGATAACAAGGTGTAGAGCTGGATGAACACAGCAGGCCAAGCAGCATCAGAGGAGTAGGAAGGCTGACGTTTCGGGCCTAGACCCTTCTGTGGAAGTGTCTTTAATTTAAATTGTTTGGGTTTGTTTAAGTTAACAGGATGTTGTTGGGTTTCAAGGATTTGAGATATAAAATTAGACTGGAAAGATTAGGACTTTTTTCATTGGGGATAGGAGGTTGAAGGGTAACTTGGGGAGGCAATGACCTAATGGTATTATTGCTGGACTGTAAATCCAGAGACTCAGAAAATGTTGTGGGGACCTGGGTTTGAATCCCACCATGGCAGATAGTGGAATTTGAATCTAATAAATATCTGGAATTAAGAGTCTAATGATGACCATGAATCCATTGTCAATTGTTGGAAAAACCCATCTGGTTCACTAATGTCCTTTCGGAAAGGAAACTGCCTTCCTTACCTGGTCTGGCCTACATGAGATTCCAGACCCAGAGCAATGTGGTTGACTCTAAATTGCCCTCTGGGCAAGTAGGGATGGGCAATAAATGCTGCCTAGCCAGCAATGTCCTCATCCTATGAATGAATAAAGAAAAAAAAAACTTTATTGAGGTTTATAAAATCATGACAGGAATAGATAAGGTAGCTGACAAGGGTCTTTTCTGTAGGGTGGGTGAGTTCAAAACTAGGGCCATATTTTTAAGGCGAGAGGAGAAAGATTTAAAAAGGACACGAGTGGCAACAATTTTACACAGAAAGTGGTTTGTGTGTGGAATGAACTACCAGAGAAGGTGGTGGATGCAGCTACAGCTTCAACACTTGAAAGACATTTGGATAAATTCATGAATAGGAAAGATTTGGAGGGATATGGGCCAAGCGCAGGCAGGTGGGACTAGTTTAGTTTGGGAGTATGGTTGCGTGGACTGGTTGGACTGAAGGGCCTGTTTCCGTGCTGTATGACTGTTTGACTCTAAGTACTTCTGAAACAATCAGTATTGTAATTTGGGAAAATAATTTGTACACAGTGAGGCCCCATAAACAACTAAGAGATGAAAGAATAACAGATAATCACCTCTTTGTGGAGGTAGTAGGAACTGCCGATGCTGGAGAATCTGCGATAACAAGGTGTAGAGCTGGATGAACACAGCAGACCAAGCAGCATCAGAGGAGCAGAAAGCTGACATTTCGGGTCTGGACCCTTTTTCTGAAGAAGGGTCCAGACCTGAAACATCAGCTTGCAATTTCTAACCTTAGATAAAGGCAACAGTTCTTTTTTTAAAAAATGGAAACTTGAGTGTTATCCACAAGGGCTGGTTTAAATCTTAAATTTTAGCTGTTTGGTACAAGTTATGAAAAAATTGAGTAAAGTTTGGAATTAAAAGTTTAAAAAGTTTTGAGCAAATCAGGGCAAAACAAAAAGACGTGCGACTAAACATTTTGCAGAGCTGGATGAACACAGCAGGCCAAGCAGCATCGTAGGAGCAGGAAGGCTGACGTTTCGGGTCTAGGCCCGAAAC